TTGGTTAACATCGACCAGACTACACAGCGCAACAACCCAGAAGACAGAAATCTTCATATTTTTAATCGCCCTGATGACAGAGGCAGTATGACCTCTGAAACATTGGTTAACATCGACCAGACTACACAGCGCAACAACCCAGAAGACAGAAATCTTCATACTCACCGCTGTGAAAACCTCAAGTATCGCCATGATGATGGAGGCAGTATGACCTCTGAAACAGTGGAAATCTCCCAGACTACACGGTGCAGTAACCCAGAACATGGCAATCTTCAAATCAAGTGCTGTTGGTTGACTACCTTTTATGGAATCAAAATGGTTGTTATCATTTATCAAGAGCCCACCCCTCAACTGAAAAGAGAGCCAGACAAATTCAGCAATTCTATTTAAGATCAATTTTCATTATCCTCCCATGCATTCTTAAGAATTCCACTAAGGCACTTTCCTTAAGGTTTTTCAACTGAAATGGCATGTATTTTTGCATTTATCATCTCTACCATGGTTACCATCAGCTTTTGGACAGGACAAGGCATTTGATGAAATGTTATGATAACCTGATGAGCTTGCACCAACATCCACTGGGTTCTGTTTTTTAATCAACACTATAAATGTGCACTATTTGAAAACACCTCTCATTTTGTAAAAATTCTGTTGTGCAACAATTATCTGTTTCCTGGATATTTTATTACCTACTAATAGCAATTTGGCCTAATTTAGACACAAATATAACTACAGTGGGAGTGTCTGAAATGTCATGTATTAATCCTCTTATTATCGATGTGTGCATCTACAGACCTCCAATGCCAGTCCTTGCCAAATTAATGCAGCTCCTCTAGTCTGTGAAACAATTCTACAGAAATTGTACAGATTCTATACATCTGCAAAATCGTTTGGTCATTGTAACTGCTCTGTGGGATTAAATATAGTCAATTGTAATGAACTTAGTTGTTTTGAAACACCTGTTAAAACACCATTGTTTATTGTTTGCAGTGACAGGTTATATATAAACGCTCATCCAACCCAAAGTCAGGTACCGCTATTTGCACCTGCCTTTATATCTGAGGGCCACGTCCTCAATATGCAACCAGAGGAGGCATTATGCATGGTGAAAAGGGGCCCACCAAATATGTTCATTTCGAGCATTACTTAATGTCTGCAGTTGAGGGAGCTTGTAAAATAACCTGTAGTAAACTATTCAAATTCATGTCAGTAGGACTGCAACAGTAAATTGGTCTTTCTCTCTCAAATGTCATCCAAGCAGTAATTTTTTCTGAGTAATGTGCATATCATATATTCCTTATGGCTGAGGGATACAGAAACCAACCAGTCATTTGCATGCATGTAATGTTCCGTAGTATTAGATATTTTTATTCTCTGTGTCATTTGAAACACAAAACTGTGCCTCTTCTTATTCACAGTTCACATATTTTCTGTTATACTGATGTTACTGAAACCTTACCCCTTCTGTTCACTCAACCACATTCAGATAAGTCAACACTGCATATTTTATTACTTAAGCTTTGTATGTCTGTAACTCTTCAGAAAAAATAGGGAATTATGTGTCCTGCAGGGTCAGGTACATCGGAGACAGCCATGATTTTTTATACTGTAGACCATATTCTGATTATTGTAGTTTTTACACTATGTTATTTATTCCACTATTCTTTCAGGAAATTTCTGTGACATTATGGACAGTAGTCAGCAACAGCATTCAGGCCATTTGCACCAGGCTCAACAACAGCTGCAATTTACATGGCAGCCAAAGGACCTTCAAGAGAAGAGACAAGTAAAACCGGGCAAACAAACACCAAAGTGTCATCCTGTTGGGAATCTACATCAGAAAATCCCTCTAATGAATGGAGAAAGAAGATGGCTCTCCAGTATCCGGCAGACAGTAACAAACAGATCATTGTGAGGTAAGTTGCAATGCAAAATGTACTTCAGAACAATCACTTGTTAATAATCTAATGTGCAGAGTATTAGTGATCGACAAATTGTCTTCAAAGCTATTCGAATTCAGCGGACATGTATGATCATTGTATGCATGTTAACGATTATAAAAATGGAAATGGTGCAAAGCTGTAAAATTATATATGAGAAATTTCCCGTGTTCAGAACATGCACTCATCAGAGAAGGAAAATCATAAATCATTTATTACAGAATGACAGGAACAATAAAATGCCTTTTGAACATATCTAATTGCAAAATTAAATGTTTAAGTTACTCCCATTTTAATATTATAACATCTCGATATCTGGGTTCTGGTGCCGTGACTCGTAAGTAGATGAAAAGGTTTTGGAGAAAGTGTCTCCAATTTTTCTGTCCTCTAATATAAATGTCTCCATTTCACCGCATAGGCACTTCAGCCCTGAAGATTGAGAAAGGATCTTTCTCCGAAACGTTGGTATCGAATTAGTCGCCGTGTAAACTCCTGGTAATACAAAATTATTATTTCCATTACAATTATAAAAATGAAGCAAAAATTAATAACTCTAAAGTTGACACGTATTTCTCGGCGGTGTGCCTTTACAGTGAGTTCTTTTGGGTAAGGTACTGCCTCGGTATTGAAGTTGAAGACACTTCAACTCATACACAACCACAAGACATTGAGAGGCTTTTGCAGCGGTGAGGCTGAGGATGATGATTATAGTCTGGATTTTGGTGCAGTGTAGACTTGGCAGGAAATGAACTCAAAATATAACAAAGTATTCACCTTCTGCACTTTTGTTGACTTATGCCATTCCAGCTCTGATTGACTCAAATCTTAAAATATGTCACTAAAAATAATGACTCTGAAACAATTCTCTTACTTAAAATCGCTAGCAATCAATCCCAAATAAATCTGAATTGGTCAAGTTTCTCAAAATTCTCGAGTACATTTTTTGGAAGCTTTCTGCTGCTTATTGACATTAAAAGAGATTTAATTACTTACAGGGATACTTTTTTATGCTCTGTATCTGCCCGGCGTGTCCGGGCAAAATATTCCTCTTTCTGTTCTCTTTTCATGGCTTTCCACATTCCGCAAAGTCTGCAAATAGAAAAAGGAACACTTGTAAGAACACAGGCAGGTTGTAGGACGAACCAGAGGACAAACGTTCAAGGGTTGCAGCTGCGTGCTTCTAAATATTGTACAGGTTTTTATGGTGTCCATGTTACATATCATTGTGCCAGAACAAGTTGGGCCATAGTTAGCATAAATTGTCATGTTTTTGGAAATTCTTCAGTGGGTTCAGCTTCAGTTTTGTATGAGACGTCAACTGCATGAATTCTATCGTACTAGAGGACCAGGCAACTCTGCTTTTAAAACTGCTTGATCACAATTTCTTTTACGTGGGAAATAGTGTTTTCACAAGCCAAAGAACTTCAGTGGCATTATTTCTTACAACAAATAACATTAAAGAACCTACAGAATACTGTAGTACATGGAAGGTGAAGTAAACAAATTCTCGTACACGATTCCTCGATAGTAATGATGGAACAAACAAATATGGTTGGTTACTCTTCGAACTTTTATAAACTGCACTCGAAGTATAACCTGTCTTTAAGTTTTGTTGTATGTAACGAAAAAATGTTACTCTCATTGTTTCTGATGAACTTGTGTAATTCCTTGCCCACTTCCCCTGGTCAGTGCCGTTTTCTTAAAAATTTCCTCAATTTTCCAGTTATGAAAACATTCCACATTTAAGCACAGGGAATACTCATTTTTTAGCATTAAATTTGGTACATCCATGACTTCAATCATTAGTTTCATTAATATGTGAAAAGAAATGCCTTATTGAGGTTTAAGTAGGAGTTTGAATTCTTAAACATCCTTTTGTAGTGTTTCAAAAGTCAGTTAAAGAGAAATCACATTCTTCTTGTACTGGATCCTTTTAGGAATGATATTGTATGACTTTGTGGTGCACATGTTTTGACTCATACAAAACCTTTTTTTAATATTAAGGATATCACCAAATGTTATTTTTATCACCATCATATCTTATGAATACTGGCAGAAATATATTCTTTGTATCAAATGTTGAGACATAATTATGCGAATATTAACATTGTTTACTACTTTACATGTTTCAGCCTTTATGAGGCAGTAAGCAGTGTCCACGCTTAATAAAGTTACACTCGGGTTCATTTTAAGATGCAACAGTAAGAGCCATAAAACCAGTTTCAAAGAAATTGCAGTTTTCTAAATAAAGAGTATTTTAAAACCACTACATTTTTATTTTGTGGTCTCATGATGTTGCACTGTGCAATATTATGTCACTTATGCTCTTTTAGGGCACCAGGCTGCTTCCATCTTCAGGGTTGGAGTAGGATTTTGGTAGGCCGTATAAAGGTGTTACTAATTTATTTAGACAGAATATTTCAAGTGCTTTATTTTTGTTGTAGTCTGTATAAGTAGTCACAGTTCACAATTTTTATGCGTGCTATGCAAATCTGAGAAGGATTTAAAACCTGGCAACTTAATATAAATCCTTCCGGACCTTATTTCTGTCACCGTTCACAGTGAAATGTCATGAATATGATCTCATTTTGAAAGGTTATGTAGCTATGGATATTTGAAACTCAGGATGACCTGAAGTTCGAGACGAATAATAGGGTAATTCATGCAACTTTGTGGAACCTGGATTTTTGTTTTAGTGTTTACATGACTATAGTTCTTGTAAACTGTTGTCATCATGAACAAGTTTGAAATCAAGAAATATGTTAAGGCTTTTCCTCACTTCCTAACCTGTCATTTATTTCTAGAACCAAAATAAATAATTCCAATTTGCATACCAGCCAAAAAACTTTTTTGCTTCTAAATATTGTACAGATTTTTATGGTGCCCATGTTTCATATCATTATGCCAGAACAAGTTGGGCCATAGTTAGCATAAATTGTCATATCTTTGAAAAAACTTTCAATGGACACAGCTTCAGTTTTGTATGAGACGTCACCTGCACGAATTTTATCGTACTGGATGGTCAGCCAACTCTGCTTTTAAAACTGCTGTATCACAATTTCTTTTATGTTGGAAATAGTGTTTTCACAAGCCAAAGAACTTAGCTGGCATTATTTCTTACAACAAACAACATTAAAATTGCAAACGATTAAAGAACCGACAGAATACTGTAGTTCATGGAAGGTGAAGTAAAATTCTCGTACACGGTTCCTTCTCAGTAATGGTGGAACAAACAAATATGTTTGGTTATACTTTGTACTTCTATAAACTGCACCTTCGTCTTTCCGTTGTGTTATATGTAACGAAAAAATGTCACTCTCATTGTTTCTGATGAACTTCTGTAATTCCTTGCCCACCTCTCCTGGTCAGAGCCGTTTTCTTAAATATTTCCTCAAGTTTCCCAGTTTATGAAAACGTTCCACATTTAAGCACAGGTAACATCTTGTAATATGCATTTTTTTAGTATTGCTTAAAATTGGTAATTTGCCATCCTTATATAGCCTTGAATTTTACACATTCGTTCAAAATTTCAGTATTGGTAACCTGCGTAATTCTAAAACGTTTCTTGCAAGTCAAATTTTAAAGAAGTCCTAGTGTCGTTCATGTAGGGGCATGTCCATTTTAACATTTCTTCGCTGGCAGTTCATATCTTAAGGTGTAATGTTTGATGCTAAACCGAAATAACCAGGATCACCTCTCAACGCTTTTACTAATGTGTAGAATAAAACAATATAGCCAGGTAAGAAATGGTTCCTTTGCTGAATTATGTGAACGAAAAACTCCTACAATTCATTACTTTTAGCTTTAACGTTGGCAAAAAGCAGTTCCAACCATTGGCACCCTTGCATTCTTGTGTTATTTCGAGATATGCATAGATGGCAGGAGTAGGTGGCAGCGTTTACTAATCGATATGGGGCTTAGTGATACTCTTTTGTCTTTAACAGCTGTTTGCGGTCTGCCGTTGAATTTGTCTGAGTTGAGACGGAGTGCCTTTCCTCTTATTTTACTGAAAACTGAAATATTCAAGGTTTGTAAACATACACTGTATATATATATAAACTAATTTGTAGAAAACTTTAAACTAATTGGTGTAATTAGGTAAGTAGGTTTGTGTTTAACTGCTTTTCTACATTGACTATATTTTGTCATTCACTTGATTCTCTTAGTTCCATCTTTTAGTTCAGATTTGCTGTAAATGAACTGTTTAAAATTGACTTTAATTTGTAATGGTACTGTAGTTTCTTCTTCATTTGATAAATATACTTTAGTGAAATTTGTTAGATTCTGATACATGCGTTTCAGTACTCCTTAGTACCAACTAGAACACCATACAGAAGGGGATGAGCTGTGTCTTGTGACATAACCTTTCACAACAGAGAAGTTTAATATTTCCTACTTTCTATAATAATAATACCGGTTTTAACTTCCAAATATTTCTATTATTTCAGTAGTTGTAACTTTTATTCATTGTTATTCTCCTATCCCACTTTTATAGGATAATTTGTCCCTTTGAGCCTGAACTAAT